TGATTTGTAGTTTGTCATCCATTGTGTATCTTGTTCATGGCCTAAGTTTTTCTCTTAGGCTTTGTGCTCCTCTTTTTGTTGGCTCTTCATGTTGCCCAGGTTAATTCCCTGTCTGTTAAATGTTATGAAAACACTCCCCTGTCTGTCACTGCCTTTAACTCTGCCTGTAGTGTGTTTTACTCTGTCTGAATGCTTTCTTTTTTCATGTAGGGAAAGAGTCAATTCGTATTATTGCCTTTGGGTTTCATTTATTTAAAAAATGTTAGCAAGGCATTTGTACTAGATTAACATAGCTTGGGACCAGCAGCATTTTAGGGCTGAACTTCTATGCAGTCTCAATATGCATTTTAGAGAAACCTATGATTTTTATATGTACAAAAGTAGCTACACAGTTCTTTTCTCTCTTTCCTGATATGTGGGATTTCAAGATTGACTTTTTCCAACTCACTGAAAAAGAGATGGACCTTATCATATTAACTTGGTATCAGTGTTTCTCTTGGAGACCCAGTTTCTTGTTCTGGAATTCAGTGAAATGTTTCCCATGCACCTGCTGTTTATAAGGTACTGGCCATATACCATAGGCATCAAGATGGATAAGACATGGTCCTGACACTCATGAAGTTCACAGTTAGCAGTCCTAAAAGTATTTAGATGGTACTTGAAATAATCTTGAAGTAAATTTAACCTTAGACATTTTACTTAGAAATAATATGGTAAAAACAGCAAGAACATGTATGCATTCAGTAGTATGCTGTGTGATGGTATTAATTGTATACCACATGAAAGTGTAGCTTCTGTTCTTCATAATCTTGGATCCTTTTTAAAATTCCCCATTATATTAATAAATCGTGTATATCGTGAAGATTTAGGAATTCCTGACTCTAATGTTCTATTTAAATGTTAATTTATATGGATTAATGTAAGCAAAATTCTCAGGAAGTTGAGGACATTAAATCTTTAATTGAAATGTAAGAGATATTTGTAAGATTGGCCACTAATGTATGCCTTCTGTTCTAAATTTCACTTTAGGAAATCACTCACTCTAGTAACTTGGTGGCTTTGTCACAGAGATCAGGTTTGTACTTAAAACCAAAATATGATTAAGCAGTGGACAGTGGACGATTTGCTCTGTGAAGTACTTTGGTTAAGCAGTGGACAGTGGAAGATTTGCACTGTGAACTACTTTGCATTCTCGAGCAGAAGTGGAGTAGGCTGTTTTTAATTGCTTAAGGTACTTCATAGATAATTTGGGTAGAAAAGAAATGAATTAGGGAAAATATATAGTCAAAATATATAAATTTGATTTAATATTTACAGCAGCTAGAGGTTTGTGCTCTTTACCAGCCCAAATTAAGGAGAGTAGTGGAAGGATTCTAGGAGGGAAGGTGAAGACCTGCAGTAGTGGAGATGTGGGGAGGCTGCTTTTGTGGGAAACCTCCAGCCTGAAATTCTGGGCCTTAAATTATTTAAGGTGGGGGAGAATAAGGAGAATGAGAGTGATTTAAAATTTGGTGAGTTTTACTTGGAATGTAAGCATATTTTGCATTATTTCCATTTGAATGCAAACACAGCAACAAAGAATTTCCTTCATTCTATGATGTCAGCAATAGTAAGACTTATCATTGATTTGATTAACAGTATTGCCTCAAATAGATCCACCAATTGTTAGATGTGTCATGGTAGCATGGAGTGGCAGGTGACTGAGAGTTGGTTGTTTCTGGGGTGTGTTACCTTAAGCTGTTGAGGAGGCAGAAATGAAGGGGAGGAGTATTACAACACAACTCGCCTTTAGGTCCTCCTTACAGCCATAACAGGTTGGAGAGCATGCTTGGTATAAAGAGCCTGGGGTAGCATGGGTTCATCTTCTGGCATAGGTTGAGTTTCTGGGACTCAAAAGGCATTTGTGGTGATTATGCTATACAATCAGGGCTTGCTGGGCTTTTTAAGGTTTTCTGCTGGGTTTTAGAGGCTGCTCTGTTTGCCAGCATTCCTCCTTTGGCTAGCCTAACATATCTTAGAGCAGTATTCTAGAGAAGGAAGCATATGATGGTCCATAATTCCTTGTCTGGATCTCCTGTGACAAGTTAATTCCTACTGTGCAGGGGCAGCTATCAGTTTAGGTGATACGGGCTCAAGTTAGGTAGCATGGGCCAGGGCTGGGGCAGAAGTTTGAAGAGAGGCTTTAGTTGGGGAGAAGTCATAACAGTGGCCCAGAAGCTGAATGAATCTCTTTCCTTTCTTTAGGAGCTTGGAGGTGAACTTATTTGGGGTTTTAGCAGTGAACTACTGTTAGCCTAGGTTTCAATTTGGAGGTAATCTCAATGAGGGATTCATTCCTTAGCTCCACCCTCCCACCTCTCACACATACATAGACTTCTCTACCTTGAATAGGGATCCCAAATGCCCAAGGCTTTTTCTTATTTTGGTACTTTACACGCCACACAGTTGTGGCCCACTTTTATGTCAGTTCAGATAGATTGTGAGTTCTTTGAGGACTGAGATACTGTCATTCATCACTTTATCCTTAACACCTGCATTATGTGGCATTATGGTGGTGTAGGTGCTCCCTAAATGTTGACTAAATAAATGATGAACTCAATACCAGATGATAACCTTGTCTGGCATCATACAGGTTTCTTGTCAGGATGGAATGTGATCAAGAATTTCACTTCCTTGCTTTTGAATACATATTTTGGATTTGCCTTTAAGATGATAATAGTCTATTAGTTCCAGCTCATCTGGAAGTGGGTCCGTATGAGCTTAAGCCTGGTGCAGATGGGGAGATCACACATGAATGAGCCTCTAAGATGATAATAGTCTATTAGTTCCAGCTTATCTAGAAGTGGATCTGTATGAGCTTAGGCCTGGTACGTACATGGGTAGATCACACACATCTACATTTATGCATTAGAAGTTTTCCAAGATTTACTTAATTAGATGCTGTAGGCTCTCAGGGGCATTGCACTGACTGAGTAATACAAAAAGGCCAGGGGATTGGGAGTTGAGCTGCTGTGTATCACACTTCTGATATACTTTTTATGAGCACCAAAGATCTGATGTTATAACATCTTGAGCTCCATAGAATTGATCCAGGAGTTCTGGAGTTACTATAAGAAAGTAGAGATTTTCATTGGTCTGTTATTGTAGCTGTGCTTTAGGGACACCGACAGACCTGGATTTTCTCAGGGTGACGTCTCCTGTGGAGGGAGAAGAGAATTGTCTGATCTTTGTTAAGTTAATGAGTATAAGAGTTCTTTGAAGAAACCAAACTTTACCTACAAAAAGTATTTTGTTTTAACAAGTAGGGACTCCAGATATCCTGATCATAACATCTGATCTTATAATCAAATCTTCTACCTTCTTGTCTGAAAACTATGATATGATATGACCATTCGTTGACGTTTCTAGGAATGGGAGGGACTGGTAAAGCCGATTCTGCCACTAGTCAGGAATTGTAGCAGGGTAGGAAAGGGTGGAGCTTCTACACAAATATCATGGTTGTAGGTGTTCATCTGGGAGAAGTAGGAGCCAAGGGCAAGAATGGGTCTCACGTGACAGCACTGGTGAGGGTGAGCTGTGCTGCATAGCTCAGTAGGACTAGGGTCTCAGGCCACAAATCCCTGCTGTGTCCATTAGCCTAGAGTCAAATGCTTAGCTGTGACTGCTATGCCAGACCTTGACCTGCAAAGCTCTCTAATGGCCCCTTGTTGAGCACAGTCCAGTGTGAGAAAGCTGTCTGTTACCTAGCAGTTCTTCGTGTGCACGATATGCTACCCAGGTGGTAAGGGCTAAATCTGAACCTGTGTCCTTCCTGGAGGTATAAGGGATTCCAAATACTCTCCCAGAAGCAGATTTGTTGATCTTTCAGTTACGGAGTGTGAGGTCAGGACTTAGGTGGACATGAGGCAGTGATTTAAGGCAGAAGGCATGGAGTGGACTCTGGGCAAGTACATGACAGCATGTTCTTTTTGTTGTTCAATAAAGATTACTCCTTATGTTCTTTTCTTAGACTTGCTTCATGGGCGACCACAATGATAGGTAGAAGGCCTGGCTACTTTGAAGGGGCCGGGGATGGGTCACAGAAAAGGCATGTTGATAGTACTAATGGAGGTTTAGAAAGTAGCACACAATTTTGTCATCTATGTTCTTCCTACTGCTTTTTGAAATGTGGGGAGCTGGTTGTAGTAACTACTTAGATTTCTCAACCTAGGTCTTCTTTTTTTTTTCTCCACATGCTGCTTCTTCTCTTGTTTACTTTCCTATTTATTTTATCCCTGTTTCTTTTATATGTGAGTTAATATCAGAAGAGATTAAGTGATTTTGGATTGTATTTTAGATACGTTTTATTCTATGACTTAACATTTAATATGCTGTTTATACTAGAGAATGAATTGCTGAGCGATTTTTACTTGTATTCTTGACAAAGTTTGCCTCTTAGCTTACCTATTTAAAGGTATTAGGCTTTAAAAATTTGGGTCAAATGGGAAACCATGTGGCTGTTTAGTAAACATTATTAATGGGGGTGACAGTTTTCAGTCCCTGGATTTAATTTGAACCATTTATCTGTGAGCCCCAGATTTTTTTTCCTAGAAAATAAAAATGATAAACTTTTTCTTTTCTTTCTCAGCTTTTTCTTTCTCAGTTCAGAACAAACAACAAGATCGTGGTTCTTGATAAAGAGGGGATCCTGGCGAATGGAACAATGTCTTTTTTTGTTTGTTTTTCTAACTTTTTTCTGTGGTCTCTGTGTCATATTTAAAAGGTGGCATTTAGGTTTGCCATGATCACAAGATAGCTTGTGCATTACAGGATGTTTTCTTGTGATCAAGTTGAATTGTGGTTCAAAGTTTAGAAAAATTATAATGTGTCATTTTTTTTTTAACCTCTTAGTACCACAGAATGGAATTCGGCATTGTTCCTATACAGCTTCTCGGAAACATCTCTACGTTGATAAAAATACAAAGATTATTTGCCAGGGTTTCACTGGCAAACAGGTATGTGTATCTAGATTTTTATTTTCAAATGTAGACTAGACTAGAGATATAACAAATTAACTATTTTTTTATTTTTAATATCACAAAAAATATATCAGATTGTTGCAGAAAAATATACTGTACAGCAATGGGGTTGTATGTCAGGAGGCGGTTAGTTGCTATTGTCAGCCTATAGCATAAAAATTTTATTTAAACTTACTTTGCGAAGGAGTATATTGCATGCTTACTAGGACTATATTGTATTGGAGGCCAACATACTTTCTTTCAGCAAATACAACACTTGGTTTTCCTATGATGTTGAAACAGATAACTGTTTCTTTGAGCACTAGGTAAACTAGATTCTTGTGTTTAGGTTTTATACAGACAAACAAACAAAAAAAAACATATTGTTAAATACAGAATCCATATTCAGTGTGGAGAAATGTTCAAACCCACAGAGTCTCTTGGATAGTGAGACAAGCAGAAGAACCAGACCACTGAGTTTTCCCAACTTATACTCTCTCTGGGACCATGATTGGGACTACCAGGCAAAATTCCCTGAAGTGTTTTAATTTATTCTCATTTATTTATATTCATTGTCTCATCCTCTTTCCTGTTCACATCATAGATTTTGTATGAGTGAAAATATATCTGTGATGTGATTCTGTAATAAAATGCCACCTAAGAATCTCCTTTCCATTTTCCTACCTTTCTACTCCCCAGGAATTCCTTCTGTTAATCAATTGGCATGTATCCTTTCAGATATTTTTCTTGTGCATATAAACGTATTTATAGAATATGTGTTTTGTACTGTTTATTATACAGAACTATACTTATATAATGTTATCCAGCATATAATATATATAATGTATATATCTATAAAATAGATACCTAAAAGTAAAATTGGATATCATATGGTCTGTGTATTTAAATTTTTCATAGCTAAATTGAACTTTAAAACATTGGAGCAGATTTATACTTCCACCATAGTAGATGTGCAGAATTTTTTAAAATGAGGAAGTACTACCAAATCAATTCGAGTATAATCAGTATACTCTAAGTGTCTTAACCCAAAATATCCCTTTCTTTATTATTAAAGGAGATATGGCAAGATAAAAGCAGTCAATAATTTTTTTTGTAATTTAAGGTTAATGATTTTTCTGTAATTAAAAGAATTGTCAAGTCAATTCTTCAGTGTTTTGGTAATCTAGAGCAGAGGTGACTAAACTTATTCTGCAAAAGGTCAATTTGTAAATATTTTAGGTTTAGTGGGTCATACAGTCTCTGTTACAGCTACTCAAAAGCATTATAAAAGCAAAAGCAGCCATAGAAAATAATGTCAGTGAATGGGCCTGTGTGTGTTCCAATAAAACTTAATTTACAAAACCAGTCAGTGGGCCAAATCCTGTAGACTGCAGTTAGCAGGTAGTTTCATATAAAATGGTTCTTTTGCTTTTTTACTTTTTTTCTGAAATAACTGAGCACACAAATGTGTTGCAGTGGACTTTTCTTCTTTTTCTTCTTCCATTCCTCTATAACCTTAAAAAAAATCTACCAATAACAAAAAATGAAGCACCCACTAAACCCTGAAATTTTGTTCCTGGTAAAAATGGCTGGGTGTGGTGGCCCACACCTGTAATCCTAGCACTTTATGGGGCCAGAGCAGCAGGACTGCTTGAACCCAGGAGTTTGAGACCAGCCTGGGCAATATGGTGAGACCCCATCTCTAAAAAAAAAAATAGAAAAATTAGCTGGGTATGGTGGTGTATGCCTGTGGTTCCAGCTATTCTGGAGGCTGAGGTGGAAGGATCACTTGAGTCGAGAAGGTTGAGGGTGCAGTGAATCATTATTGAACCACTTAATGCCAGCTGGATGACAGAGTGAGACCCTGTCTCAAGAAAAAAAGGTGTATTCTGATAGCCAAATGTCTTATATGTATGTCACTTCCGTTACATACATTCTAAGGAAAGAAGAGCTTCATCCAAGATTTGAAGTGTGTTCTATCATCCCCTTCCCAATTGATGTTATATTCAGCCTATTTTTTGTTATATATTAATATTATTAGCCTATAATCAGAAGATGTTTGATTAACCCAAATTTCCCATATAAATTTATTATATATAATTTTGTTTTTCTGTTTGCAAAATATTATATGACCCTGTGACATTTTAAGCTGTGGGCTTTTTTATAAGAACCATTGCCCATGGTGTAAGCACTGTTGAGAACTGTCTCCATATTCTAAATTAGGTGATGGTTTGCCTAAATATTTAAATCCAAGGGTAGTTTTAGTGTTTTTCAGATACTTACATTTACATTGTTTCTCATTCACTCTCCTTGTTTTTGTTTTTAAAGTGAGTGAATGTTAATTCCCTCAGTTACGTTTGTTGATTCAGATTCATTATAGACTTAATGATGAGGTCTGAAATTTATAGCTTACTTCCACAGTAAATCTGCATATTGTCTTATTAGTTTGTTTTCTCTGTACACACGTTGTTCCACATAACAAATGAAAAATCCTTGTATTTTAGGGTAGGTTTCAGCAATGCAGATTTCCATTGGGTGCCATCTTGTTTCTTACGCTGGCTTTATAAGCTGCTAAAATTATTCCTGTTCCTAATTGTATACTGGCTGGTGATCATGGTAAAACTAAGGAAAATAAGCTTATTTTGAATAGCTGTGTAATTCCTGTTTATCACTACTTTATGATTAAAATTTGGTGCTTTTGAATTTACCTGGCAGTGTAGTCTAGGGCAGTGCTTCTCGGTGTCTATAGCAAAAACCCCGTGTGGGTGTTTGTTTTTAATTTTCAGACTAATATAGATCAGTATTTTTGTAAAGTACAATAAAAGCTGTAGCAATGTCATACTGCTATATTTTCAAACATTTTTACTTTTTTTAAGTAAAGTAAAATTTACCTCATTGCAGAGCAGCAAGAGTCTGCATACTATACTTTGAATAGCACTGTTTTAAGAGCGAGAACACTGGCCTGTGGTTCTTTCAAAACTCTGCCCCTGACTTTAGACAAATTAATTAACATGCTTGAGGCCAAGTTTCCTATTTTGAAATAGAATTTCAATCAAAATTTCTGAAGTCCTTCTTAAGGCCCTAATTTTTATTCCTTTAATAGAACATCAATATTTGGGACCACATTTTGAATGACCACATAGATTCATTCATTTTTCAACAACTATTTATTGAGTGCCTACTATATGTTGATTTAGGTGTCATATTGCAATGAACAAAGTAGACATAAATTACTGTCTTCATGGAATTTACATTTTAGTGGTTGGGGGGGAATGTATCAACAAAATCAATGAGTAGATTATGTGGTATGTTAGAGAGTACAATTGCTCTGGAAGAAATAAGCCAGGGAGATAGTTGGGTGGTTCTTGCCGGAAGTGGAGAGTGGCTGATTGAAGTCCGGAGGTGGTACATTCTGGCTGACATGCAAAATCTGGTAGAAAGATTGGAGAGGGCGGTGGGCCACCTGGTGGCAGTATCCCATACCTCTGACATGCACTGTGGGTATCGAGACCGTCCTTCAAAAGCAGGAGCAACTCCCTATGTGCAGGCATTTGACTCGCTGCTTGGCGGTCCTGTGACAGAGTACTTGAAGATCATTAAAGAGACTGGGGGAGACATGCAGAAACATGTGGAGATGGTCCACACAGGTTTGAAGTTGGAGCGAGTTCTCTTGGTTACAGCTTCTCAGTGTCAACAGCCAGCAGATAATAAGTTTTCTGATTTGTTGGCACCCATCTCAGAGCAGATCAAAGAAGTGAGAAGCAAGGCAGCAAGTTGTTTAATCACCTGTCAGCTGTCAGCGAAAGCATCCAGGCCCTGGGCTGGGTGGCTATGGCTCCCAAGCCTGGCCCTTATGTGAAAGAAATGAATGATGCTGCCATGTTTTATACAAACTGAGTCCTCAAAGAGTACAAAGATGTGGATAAGAAGCATGTAGACTGGGTCAAAGCTTATTTAAGTATATGGACAGAGCTGCAGGCTTACATTAAGGAGTTCCATACCACCAAACTGGTATGGAACAAAACGGGGCCTGTGGCAAAAGAACTGAGTGGACTGCCTTCTGGACCCTCTGCTGGATCAGATCCTCCTTCCCCACCACCAGGCCGCCCTCCACCAGTCTCTACCAGTTCAGGCTCAGATGAATCTGCCTCCCGTTCAGCACTGTTTATGCAGATTAATCAGGGGGAGAGCATCACACATGCCCTGAAACACATGTCTGTTGACATGAAGACTCACAAGAACCCTACCTTGAAGGCTCAGAGTGGACCAGTAGACAGTGGCCCCAAGCCATTCTCTGTACCTAAACCCCAAACCAGCCCATCCCCAAACCAGCCGCAAAGAAGGAGCCAGGTGTACTTGAACTGGAGGGCAAGAAGTGGAGAGTGGAAAATCAGGAAAATGTTTCCAACCTGGTGATTGATGACACAGCTGAAACAGGTGGCTTACATTTACAAGTGTGTCAACACGATGTTGCAAATCAAGAACAAAATTAACTCCATTGCAGTAGATAACTCCAAGAAACTTGGCCTGGTATTTGATGATGTAGTGGGCATTGTGGAAATAATCAACAGTAAGGATGTCAAAGTTCAGGTAATGGGTAAAGTGCCAACCATTTCCATTAACAAAACAGATGGCTGCCATGCTTACCTGAGCAAGAATTCCCTGGATTGTGAAACAGTCACTGCCAAATCTTCTGAGAAGAACGTCCTCATTCCTACAGAAGGCAGTGGCTTTAATGAATTCCCAGTTCCTAAGCAGTTCAAGACCCTATGGAATGGGCAGAAGTTGGTCACCCCAGTGACAGAAATTGCTGGATAAGTAAAGTGCCACTGGGTTCTTTGCCCTCCCTTCACACCATGGGATAGATCTGTATCAAGACGATTCTTTTCTAGATTTTCTCCACCTTTCTGCTCTTAAAACTGCTTCTCTGCTTTGAGAAGCACAGCTACCTGCCTTCACTGAAATATACCTCAGGCTGAGATTTGGGGTGGAATAGCAGATCAGTTGATCTTCTGCAGGAAGGTTCAGCTTTTCCATATCAGCTCAACCATGCCAGCAGTCCATTCTTAAGGAACTGCCAACCAGGACTGATGATGCATTTTAGCTTTGAGCTTTTGGGCATTTATTCTACCAACAAACAGTCCATTGAGAAGAAAACAGTCCCAGGAATTAACAGATCAGAATGTTCACACTGGTTAATCTTTTTCTAACAATGAGCATGAAGGTAGCAGAAGCTGGTGTGTTTCCAGATGGTTCTTCTAACCAAACTAATTTTTTACTATTGACAAGTGAGGCAAGGGTTGCACTGGACCAAAGGCTGAGGCTTGGCCATCTAGCATTCTACACAAAATTGTTCCCTATAAGCATTCCTTTTATTCTCTATTCCATCCTGGGTCTGCCTCTACCATGCTGTGGCAGTGCCCTTCATCCAGAGCAGTTAAAGGAGTCTTGGACCCTTTCTTTCTCTAAGATTCCTGCCCAGCACCTTCTACAGAGATGTCTTAAAAGGGAAAAAAAGGAAAAAACACACCATTCCAAGGAGTCTGGCATTCCTGAATCCTCCTTGCCTGCTAGGTTTCTGTTACCTGTCTTCACTGTCTCCTTTTCCCTGTCATGCTCATCAGCTATGGCTTCTGTCCAGGCACCTGAACAGAGGACTAAAACCTCCATTGCAGGCTGGTTTAGGTCTTGATTTATATAAGAATCTTGCAAAGCACTGCTAATATAAAGTTCAGTTTTTTCCCTCTAGGACAAACACTTACCAAAATGTGCAACTTTTTCTGGTGGGAAGAGAGATTGTCCTGTGATTTCTACCCATTTCCTGAGGCCTGTGGAAATAAACCTTTATGTACTTAAAGTTAAAAAAAAAAAGAAATAAGCCAGGGAAAGGAGGAGTTTGTGTAGTCCTGGTGGTTAGGATGGAGGAGAAGGAGATTTTATTTCAGGTGGTCAGGGAAGGCCTGATCTCTAAGTTAAGATGTAAAGGAGACATGGGAGTGAACCAAGAGGATATTTAGGGAAAGGTATTCCATGCAGAGGGCACAATGAGGCCATGAGGCAGGCATATGCCTGCTGTGTGTGGAAGCCGCAAGGTCAGCATGGCTGGAGTGTAATCAGCAGGCAGGTATGTGACTCTGATGTGGAGAGACAGCTTGTAGATTAACTTGTAGACCAGTATATGGAGTTTGGCTTTTACTTGACTGAAATCTAAAACAATCTGAGTATTTGATTAGAGGAATGCTGTGATCTTATGTTTTGACCAGATTACTCAGGCTGCTGTGGAGATTAGATTGAAGGGGAGCAAGACCAATAACCCATCAAGGTTGAAGTGACTTAGACCAATGTGATAGCAGTAGAAGGGGAAGGAGTTGTCGATTATACTTTGAAGATAGAGCAATAAGATCTGCTAATGGATATGAGATATATGAACAAGAGAAGATGACTTCGGTATTTTTGATGTGATGATCTGTAAGGAGTGAAGTTGTGTTTAAATGAGGTGGGGTAGATGGAGGGGAATGATTGGGAGCTCAGTTTTGGACATGTTGAGTTTGAGAGGCCTGCTAGTTCTCAAAGTGGAGGTATCAGGTAGGTAGTTGATAATGTGAGTATGCAGTTCAAGGCTTAGATAAGTGGGGTGTTTGTGTCTTTGTGTATGTGAAGGGGTCACCATATGGATGAGATATATTGCCATGATAAGGGATGACATCACCAAGGGCATGAATTTAGACGAAAAAGAGAAGTTAAGGAGAGAAAAAGAAAAGAGGAAAACCAGGGGAAGTAGAGCCCCAGAAGCCTAGTGAAAAAGAATCTTTCAATCCTTGGAGCTGTTTTTGGTTGTCATAACTGGAGGGGGTTATGACAGTTAGGAGGGTGTGGTACTGGCATCTAATGGGTGGAGCCCAGGGATGCTGCTAAATGTCCTACCAGGCACTGGATGACCTCTCATAAGAAAGAGTCATCCTTCCAAAATGTCAGTAATGCTGAGGTTGAGGAGTAAAAGTGAATGGATAGAGAAATACAGGTTGTTGACTGGGCGGTATTAAAGGCTTACTTAAGGTGAGTGATCATTCATTTAAAATTAGACCAGTTGACATGTTTTTTTTTCTTTTGTTTTTTTCCTCTAGCCACTTTTTGGCTGCACATGTCTAGGCTTAGAGTAGGGGAAAATTGGATTTAACCCAGGTTGTGGTTTTGCTAGATGTTTAAGTTGAAGTGAGAGAAAGCCAAGGTCGTTGTGGGAGGGTAATGATCTACCATGAATTTAAACTGAGGAGTGTGAGCACATGAGGAGTTGAGAAACAGGGAGTTTTTGATCACCAGCCAAGTTTGAGAACAGGGAATCAAAGAGGCCCCTGTTTATAGCTATTTTGGCTTTTCAGAGGCTTGTTTTGCTTCAAACTTCAAAGCTATGTTTAGTAAATAGATGGGCATGCTTCCTGTAGTTACGTCTGGGAATAGTTAACCTATTTGTTTTTCTTCTCCTAAGTTGCTAAGATTGCTTTTGCTTCTCTTGGGCTTTCCAGTCTGCTGTTTCTCATGGATCTTGTGCTTTTTCCCCTCAGGGCACCTTTCACAGCCAGCAGGCATTGGAGTATGGCACCAAACTTGTTGGAGGAACCACTCCAGGGAAAGGAGGCCAGACACATCTGGGTTTACCAGTCTTTAACACTGTGAAGGAGGTAATTAATGCTACCTGAGTTTGGCAAGACAAGAAAAGCAAGGGAAGAGTGAGCATTCTTTGGGTAGAGATCTTAATTGTGTTTCTTTTGGGAGAGTCACTTGCTGTTTGAAAATTCAGTAACCTAGAGAAATTTGAATTGCCTTCAAAACCGGTGTGTCATTTGTGTTTCTAGGTATGCATCAGCTGTTAGGGGAAGAAGTGCTGTGGCCAGGCTTCTGTTTGTCTTTTTATCATTGCCTTATTTTTCTTCTTCCAGTATGTTAGTACAAATGTCAGCAACCACCCCCTAACTCTTCCTTAGTGGGGACTGTGCAGCAGGCACTGTGCTAGGTGTTTCATTCAGATTGCCCCGTTCAGGCCTCACTACAACCCTTGGAGGTAGGTGCTGTTATCCTTCTCATTTTAAAGGTAAGGATGTTACTAGTGCAATGAGGTTGAAGATCTTGCCCATGGTCTGACAGCTGATAAATGGCACGCTTAGGATGGCTCAGAGTAAAGAGTGGTCCCATGTGAAGAAACTAAATTTTGGAGTTATATTTACAGATCACAGTGTCCTAAATTCTCAAATTACAGATTTCTTAATAATACCTTTAAAAGTTATTTTTGAATTAAACTTTAATTCTTTGTTACAAAACTGATACGTGCTTTTTGTAAAAATGCAGATGGTATAAAAGGTAAGTAAAATTAAATTTTAGTGTCTTCAACATTTCAGATTTTGCCTCTGTAGGGAGCTAACTTAAGCTTAGTGTGTAGTCTTTCACTCTCTTTTTACTCTTATATGAATATTTACAAGACTAATAGTATTTAAAAGAAACTGTAGTGTTAATTATTGGGTATTTAATTTTAAAAAATCTAAGAAATAAACTTAGTTTTTCGGGATGATGTGTTGATCAGCCTTAAATGTGTTCTTCTCCTCTTCTTATGCATATTTTTAAGCTGTGTTTTAAAGCATTACATTTTTTAAGGCACAAATTTAAAGTCCTTCCTGCCTTAAATTCTATTATGGCTGATTTTATAACTTCAAAATATAGAGAGGAGATGTTTTTTCACAGTTTCTCCAGGTTGACTTTTCTTTTGTTATGAGCCTTTGTTTGCTTTTTTTAAGAAAGTCTTGTTGCTAAGCAATCCATTTGTTATAGTGACAAAAATAGTTGTGGCGTTTGGAATATTCTGTAAGTTTTTTTTGACAGATATTGTTTATTTTTCACCCATTCTGCTCTTACAAAGAGATTTTTGAATGAGTAGGGTTGGTACCTTTCATCTATATGATTTCCTAGCACAATATTTGCTGTTGTCACAGTCTAGCTTCTGGCAGTATTTGTAGCCTTTGGAGGTAGAGAACTATGTACTGTAGTTACTTTTCAGTCAAGTACCTACGTGCCATGGTTTGACTTCTTTTGGTTTCATACTAGTTTTAATATTTTTTTGTCTCCCCCTCTTTATTATCATCTTGAACAGAGTTTTAAAAAATTATTTTTAACCTCTGGCATCATTTGTGGATGATATGTTGGCTTCCTTTGACTCTGTTCACTGTCAGGATGCTTTTAGGTTTACTGACATGCCATAGTCTAGATGTCACAGAAGCTTTCGATTCACAGTGGCATTCAAAGCGGGCTGAGAAAGGGCTATGCTTACTTCTGCTCTACTCTGAGAGTGTAGTGAATTTGAGAATGGGAAGAATGCTATGTCTTTGGGTAGTCCTTTTCTTTACCCCAAGACATTATTAAAATGATAGTATTGAATTTATTTTACAATGTTTATGATTTAACCAATAATAACGTGCTTCATCATTAATGTTTCAGGCCAAAGAACAGACAGGAGCAACGGCTTCTGTCATTTATGTTCCTCCGCCTTTTGCTGCGGCTGCTATTAATGAAGCTATTGAGGCGGAAATTCCCTTGGTTGTGTGTATCACTGAAGGTATCCCACAGCAGGACATGGTCCGAGTTAAGCACAAATTGCTGCACCAGGGAAAGACAAGGCTAATTGGGCCCAATTGCCCCGGAGTCATCAATGTGAGTGCAAAACATGAAAAGAAACCCAAATTAAGCCTCTCACAAGGCTAAACAGCTTTGAGTGAATGCAAGTATATTTGTGTGTATGACCTGTGAGTGACTTTTTTTTTTAACTTTTCTGAAACTATGATTTACTTTCAGCCTGGAGAATGTAAAATTGGTATCATGCCTGGTCATATTCACAAAAAAGGAAGGATTGGTGAGTTTGTTACTTTCTAACAGATTAAAACAAAAAATTATTTGCCTTAAATCTTCAAAACTCACAAAGAATTTGTGACTTTGCAAATCAAGTTTATTTTAATTAAATTGACTTGAGTAGAATTTACCAGGGAAGTTTTGTAGTCTATCAATTCTGTATCCTGAGTGTAATAAGTTTATTTGAGAAGCCATTACAGTTCTACAGAATCAGAGAAGACTTTGCTGGTGGGAGTTTAAATATTTTTTCCCTGCTCAGCATTCTGGGTATTATTCTATGTATTTGCATGTATCAGTAGTTAATTTCATTAACTATCATAACTTAGTTATTGCTAAGTAGTATTCTATCGCATAATTTTTGCATAATTTGCAAAAACCACGATTTGTTTATTCATTTTCCCATTAATGAACATTTGGGTTGTTTTCATGTTTGAGCCTTATGAACAAGACTTAGGTCAACATTTGTGTATAGGTTGTTTTGTGGACAGATTTTTGTTTCTCTTGGGGAAAATGCATAGGAATGGACTTGCTAAGTCATGTTTGTATGGACATAAGTAGAGTATGCTCAACTTTTTAAGAAACTGCCAAATAGTTCTGCAAAGTGGCTATATCATTTTATATTTTCACTATTAATGTAGGAGAGTTTCAATTGCTCCATGTCTTCCCAACATTTAATATTGTTAGTCTTTTTAAATGTAGCCATTCTACTGGGAGTAAAATGGTATCTCTTGTGGTTTTGAGTGTCCCTGATGACTAATGATGCAGAGCACCTTTTCATGTGCCATTCACATACCTGCTCAATAATCACCTTGCTCTTTTAGATATCACAAACTTTCTCAAAATGTTTTAGGTTTATGGGCACCTCAGAAAGCCGGGCAGTGGTCACAAAGCAAATCAGATGGCCTATCATAGGAAAATTATATTGCTACTTGGAAGTAGCCAAGGTAACATTTCAAAGTTAGCCACATTAGGCTTGTGTTTAGACTC